TCTAATTGTATTGTCAATATTGATAAATCCACTTTTGGTGGGATTTTAAAGGCTAACGATGACATTTACAATGAGTACAATTCCTACAACAAGTAGGACACCGATGTTCAAGCAATTAAATCGCGTAAAACTCAAACAAAAGCAAAATAAATTAGAATTGTAAACAATTCTCAATGTATTGTTAAACATTAGAGGTCAATTCATTGCATTGTCAATATTGTTGATCAATTCCATTTCTCTTATGCGATTTGAAGGCTAATAATGATGGTAATTACAGTGACGAATCTTTCCAACATTTTAGGACAAGGATAACATTCAACCATACAATACAAGCTAGGAAAAACGACAACTGGGAAGTGCAAAATGTTCATAAAAACATCCACCTACATATCTTACCAGAAATAGGTTAAGACAAAAATCCCATGTTAGACTTGGCTCTAACAAGACTACGCTCTAACAGCTGTCCCCTAGCATCCCACTAATGCATACATGAGTGAGAAATGTGAATTCTGTGTTTAGAATTGATCCCGTTTTTATTTTTTTACATTTTTCAAGAGAGAAAAAATGAAAACCTTTTTAAAACGGCTTTTAACGTAATAATGACAAAAAACGGAAATGAAAACTATTTTTTGATTTCGTGTAAAATGAGAGATAAATAAAAAATGACTTTTAGTCGTTTTTTATTTTTATTTTTCGTTTTCTCCTCTCTCGAGCAGAGAGAGAGAGAAAGAGACATTAATGGGTTTTTTACACTGAAAATAATCTCTTGATAAAATTACCAAACGTATTTTCAAAAATGATTTCTGTCTGAGATTGAAAATGTATTTATTTTTATTTTTATTTTTATATAAAAAATAAAATTATTTTAGAACGAGTTTCAAACGCGCTTAAATTTACATTTTTTTTATACAATATAGGTTTATGGCTCGCACTTTACGTATATAAATAAATAATAGCACCATAATTCTAAAATTAGTGAACACACGCGTCCACCGCAGACACTTAAACAGCCAACCACTTAATGAGTTCTGCAATTCGCACATCTTCACATGCACGTTCATTTAAATTTGACAAATTTAACTCATTTTTATTATGTTGTCTTCTCATCAAGAGAGATTGGGTTTGAGTTACTCTTACGTAGAAAAACTATTTCATGAAGTTCTGCCGTTATTTATGTTTTGCATAATGAGCAAATTTCTTCTCACTTAACATGTTTATTGCGCCAAAAAAACTAAACAAAATAAGATAGAAAGCCGTTGCAGCAGAAAACATGTTTCGGGTATTAATCCTACTAAGTTTTTTCTTTGCGCCATTCTGCTCTTTTCCCTTAAGAATTAATATCCAGTGGACTGTGAGTCTACAGACCAATTGTTGTCAATTGTTCGAGGACAAGAAAGAAAATAGGTTTGTTTATCTTTTTATACTTATATTTAGGCATGACACCCCCCTGTATTTTACACCATTAATTTGCACTTACTACACAAAATCCATACTTTTTTATTAGTCGTACATACTCGATTTTGACTTAAAAATATTCAAAATACTCTAAAATAAAATTAAAAATTAAAAATCCTAAATTTGAGTACCGAGAATAAATTGTTTTGGTTATTTATGTTTTTTTATCGGTAAATCTTATTTTTGAGAATTTTTATTTTTGTAGTTTTTTTTGTGTGCTTTTCAATGACATTTTGTATACATTTGACGTTGAAGCGAGTGATGATCTAGAGATGCAACAATGGGCCGGGGTCCGTGGGCCGGCCCAGGCCCATCCTGACACAGTAACGGGCCGGGTCGTTGTTCAAGACACGGTCCAACCCATAAATATTGGTGGGATGGGCTGGGCTGGGACAACATATATCGGCCCATGGGCTAGGCTGGGTTAGGCCGGCCCGTCTATGCCCATAACGGGCTGGCCCATATAGGTCCATATTGGGCCAGCCCGGCCCATCTAGGCCCATAATATATTCATGCTTTTTTTTTCTTTTTTTATTGTAATTTTGTAAACATCTTATATATAATTATTCTGATTGTACTATTTTTTTCTTATCAAGGTTTTGTCCTACTGGGTTTTTATTTAATGAGGCAATCGTAAATAAAATATCTATTTTCATATCTCCATTGACTATTCAAACTTTTATATTTATTAACTTGTTTAGAAATTTTAAAATAAAAAATTAAAATTAAAAAATTAAAAATTACATGCTTAGATGGGCTGGCTCATCTAAACCCATGATGGGCCAAGATGGACCTTGAATGAGCCAGCTCATTCAATGCCCACGGTACGGCGTAGCTTGATCCACGTAAAATTAGCATGTGGTGTGGCTGGGTTGAGGTAATTCTTATACAGGCCAACCTGGCCTACAAAATTCGTGCACTGAGCCGGCCCGGGCGTGGGCCTAAGGAGAACAAGCTAGGCCGGATCGTGCCCGCCCGTTCTTGCATCTCTATGATGATCAAGAAGAGAATAAATTTGTAATTATATATAATTTGAAAAGTTCCAATCATTTTCTCTAAAACATTTACATTTATAAAATAAAGTCCCCCTAAATTTTTTTTCAAAATAACACTTTTATCCCCTATTAAAAACATTAGTTTTTTTATTTTTTTTCTTAAATTGTTGCTAGAATACCGGTTATGTCCTTTGAAAACCGAACATGTGAATTGCACGTCTATTTCCCTTTGTTTATAACACTCATTTGTCAAAGTTTAATTGTAACAGATAAACAAATTGAGAAAATTTATTATTAAAATTAAAAATTTTAAAATAATTTATTAAATCATAAGTTTAAAAAATAAATGTAAAAATCCAAAAAAAAAAAAATCTACTTTTCACTTCTGAAAAATTGTTATTGTATTTGTACGCCTTCACGCACCTCTACCTTCCAAGTCATGTGTTACCACACTACAACCATGTGCTGCTGTCTTTTGGTTCCACTCGTCCCACGTGGCAGCAAACGCTCGTTCTTCTTTCTATTTAATCAGGTTTTCCCAAGGGTTTAATTTTTAATAATGACTAAGAGCGTTTTTTTTTTTTTTTTTTTTTTCCTTTTTTGGGAGAGACTGAGAGTGTTTTAAGAATACAAATAGATTGAAGGATTTTAGGGTAAATACCTCTAATTTTTTATCTTATTTCAATATGTCACCCAAATTTTAAAAAGAGACTCAGTTCATCCCTTAAATTACATATATTAATTTAAAATACCTCCTATATCTATAAGACTAACAAAATGATGAAATGGCATCTATAGTTTAAAGAGCATCTAAGAAATAGCATTAATTCAGGAATGTTTTGAACTAGTTTATACTTTAAGTGGCAAAATGAACCATTTTTAAAATTTATGGGGCATTTGAAATAAGATACGAGATTTATGAGACATTGATGAAATTACTCCAAACATTTTTCTAAGGATAAGAGAAAGCGAAAAGTAGAATAATTATGGCTTATTAAATTGACAACCAAATCATTTGAATAAAAAAGAAAAACAGAAAAGAAAAGAAGTGACACCACACTTATTGTTGTTGTATAAAGTATGTTTTTTTTTTTGGAAGATAAAAAGTATGGTTTTTTTTTTTTTTTTGATAACCTCAAAATACAAGATATAAATTTAAAAACGCCATAAAAAAGACAATCTCGGAGAAAAAACCTTTCTAAGTGGTTATCAGCTCAAATATAGATCTCAATTCTAGGTCCTGTTTAGAATTGATCTCATTTTTAATTTTTTATTTTTTTCGAGAAAGAAAATAAAAACGTTTTTAAAACGGTGTTTGGTGCAATAAAGACAAAAAAAATGAAAATAAAACGATTTTTTAGTTTAGTGTAAAATGAAAGAGAAATAAAAAATGACTTTTAGTCGTTTTTCATTTTTTGTTTTCATTTTCTCCTCTCTCGAGCAGAGAGAGAAAGATAGGCATTATTGAGTTTTTTTTACATTGAAAATAATCTCTCGATAAAACTACTAAACGCATTTTTAAAAATGATTTATGTCTGAGATTGAAAACGTTTTCATTTTCATTTTTATATAAAAAATAAAATCATTTTGGAACGAGTTTCAAACGCGCCCCTAGTTTCCTACCCTTAATTTTGAGGGGGATCTTGTAATTTCAACAACCAATAAATAATTATTCCAAAACTTTATGGTAATTTTGTAATTTTCTGAAAAAGAGTATTTCTCTCAAATGTTGGTATGAAAATTCCTTTGCAGGTTACAATAAATATGATATTAAGGGCCCATTTAGTTCGTTGATTCGAATTGAGATGTGAATTTATGTGAGAATTTTTTACTATAGTAAAAAAAAAAATAGATGTGACTATTTCTGAGAGTCTTATACTCTAGTAAAATTTGAATTTTAAACTCGAATTGATGAAATGAACGAGGTCTAATATATATATATATATATATATATATTTTTTTTTTTAATAACCATGGTGTTCAAAACTTTGTCTCGACTAATTGATGAGATCCATTTAAGTGCCCTCTCCACATAAATCGGGTAAATCTTAGACGTAATACGATATTATTGTTGTGCTCCTTTAAACCATTTGTTTTTCACTAGATTATATTGAATAATGCACTCTTATTTTAATTTACTCTCTGAGAACCACAGTGCAGGAATTATATACCCTATCATAAAATGACCATGCATTTAAATATGTGAAATTTTTTTTTTTAAAAAAAGACACGTGTCGTTATGCCCGAACTGGTGCACGCATTCCTCATATTTAACAATGTTCATCTCGATTTGCTCAAAGAAAACAAAAGGTAAACACCAGAGGTCTTTATTTGCACCACAATGGTTTGATCCTCGTATGTTTGTCTTTTAATGTTAATGCCAGTGTTTACTCCGTACATGGAGGAAAAGAAGAAAAGAAAATGCTTAAGAAAACATCCAAAAAAGAAAAAAGGACAAGGAAAAAAGAAAAGGACAAAGGTTATATTGTTATAAAACAAATGTGAAAACCAAAATATTGTTGGAAATTAAAGAGAATAACAAAGACAATATAAGAGAATATGAGAGTCAAGACAACTTTCTACTTGTGTGGAATAATCCAAACATGCTTATACCATATCTATTTATAGACTAAGAGCCATAAATAGAGATAAGGGCAAAGGACACGAGTTACATATACATTAAGATAGGTATTATGGAGAGATAATACACAACAATAAGGGATGAATTATGAAGGAGATAATGGGATCTAAATGAGAAGTTATGGAATATGAAATGGTGGCATCCACACTAATTGTTTCACAACATGTATGAAATAGTTAAGTTCATATCATACAGTTATAACACACTCCAAATTTTAGCTTGGCGGTGCTGACCTTCCACTATTAGTATCATGTGAATGTGAATTTGCAGCAGGTGCTGCACCAGAGAACATCTCCATTACAGATCTCAAAGCCCCAGTTAGCTCCTCGGGCATTTGTTCGCCAAAATTCAAATTGATGTTCCCACCAATTTGTATCTCGGGTTCGTCTAATCCGTCGGTGTTGCTGTCATCTCTTGGCGGGTTTTGAGAATGCTGTCCTCCTTGGTATGCGTTTGTAGCCATGTTCATAAACATATTCGCAAAGTTGGCAGGAAGACCAGTCGTATTAAACGGCATAGACCCAAATGGAGGCGCAGCAGCATGGCTTCTTGACCCACCTGCAGAATGGTTATGGTCATCCGAATTGCTTTGACCAGATGAACTTGCACTCTGTAATTAGATGCAGAAAACAATGACAAGTTTAAATGGTAATATGATTAAATTCATGCAAACTAAATGGTGGCAAATAATATTCAACGAGTAAACATAGATGACCTGGGCAATTTTGAAATACAGGATACAACCAAATTAGAGACTTGAAACTAAAGAGATCAGGTAGAAGAAAGTAAAATTTGAAGTCTGCATAGTTTACTTTGGCAATTCAAGTCTTGTAGGCATGTTTTGTTACCTGATCACGTTCGGCTCGTTGTTGATCCTCTTTCATTTTTTGCTCAGCCATCTATGGTTTTGGCAGGAAAAGTAGCAATAGTAAATTTCGCCACATAGTAAAAATAAAAAAAAAGGTAGCAATGGTAAGAGAGGAAAAATCGTAATCAAAACCAAGATAATTAGAAAGAAGGCATCAAGTCGAACCAACCCGAATATTTTCCTTGACAACTTCATTACTTGGATCCAATTGCAAGGCTGAAAAGATAAATCTCACATTTAGAAACAAGATTGTGCCAACTTCTTCCTCTTTATTAGTTTTTTCCCCTCCAATCAACTACACTTTCTTAAAGAAAATAATCTCACTGTGGATCATCGTCGGTGGATATAGACTTTTTAGTGAAAAAAGGGAACAAAATATAGGCAACAAAACAGAAATTAAATTTCCAGCTCGACCACATTCTTGCAAGCATAGATGCAGATAATAAAATAATCGAGCAAAAAAAGTACATTCAGTAGAACAACCCAAAAAGATATCGCTTGTACATCAATCCTATTCTATAATCATAAAAATTATGCAAACTGCAGGAAACAGATACTATTAACAAAACCACAATATTGAGAAAATTAATAGGATTAATGATGTTAGCATGGGTACTTATAAATGAATATTTTCACACAAACCTTTCTTAAATCCTTTATTAATAGCATCAGCATAATTTCCTTGTGCAAAATAAGCTGTTCCCAGACGACTGTATGCCTTGCTATAATTCGGGTCTATTTCAATCGATTTAAGGCAATCTCTGACTGCTTCAGTATATTTGTGTGCCTGAGTGTAAGCAGCTGCCCTGATACATGTAGCTCATGTTAATGAAATGAAGGTTTCTCGTTTTTCTTTTGGGCTAAAAATCATTTAAGATAATAGATTCAAAGAAGGTAAATAAAAAGGGTAGAAATTTCCTACAATTAGCAAAAGAAACAGTATTAAATATTTAAAACAATGCCTAGTAGTAGAAATATGACTGGAAATGGTTGGCATCAATGTGCGAGTAAATCACAGTTATTTTAAACTTAAAAGTGATACTAAATCTAGTTATTTCTAACTTTAAGGGAAAAATGAAAGGAACCAATTCCCACTTCACATGGAGGAACAAACGGGATATATATTTTGGAGGGGACAAACTCAGACATGTTAACCATTCATGTGACTGACAAACTTGCAAGATTTATTTGAGTACAAGTTGGTTGTTCACCTGTTACAGTAGTAAACAGCATTGTTTTCACAAAGTGCAACAGCACAATTATAAAGCTTAATTGCGTCCAAATAGAGCTTCAACTGCATGGCCCTGTTGCCTAATGGGGAAAAGAGAGAGAGCACCAACCTAAATTTTCTCAAGTTCATTGAAATAAAATTCAACAGTTCAAAGCCGAAGCATAATATTAACAACCAACCCAAAGGCCTCCAAGTATACCTTGTGATTTTAATGTCTCAGCCAGATTTTTCGTGTTATAATCCTGGCATCCGGATCTTTCCATTTCCTGAAACAAAACAAGAAATCTAATTAAAAAAAAAAAGTTTTTCTTTTTAAACATAGAACAATAACAGTCCTAGAGAAAGAAGAGAGAGATATACAGCTAGAGCATCATGGAATAACTGAGTAGCTTTCTCCACTCCAACTGGGTCATCGGTACCATCAGGCATTATCCTAAAGTAATGAATTTTCTCAAGTGCTGTGAAGAATTGTCCACAAAGTTCGTCTCTGGATGTCGCTGCTAATGACATGGACCGAAGCAAAAAATTAAAAGTTTTACAGAAATCTTGTAAAGATAGCAACAACTCTGAAGTAACAGAAGAATATTAATCTCACCCCCAGCTACCAATGATAACAACGTGAAATTAAATATGAGATAGTGTTGAGATTTCCGAATCAATTAGGGAAGATTTCTAGGAATTATCCCAGATATTTTGTGTATAAATTAGGAGGAGAATCCGGTATTCTTACCAGATCTTTATTTTTAAACTTTCTTAATTTAGTGGGTTTGTTTCCTTATTTAGTTACAAGCTAAGAATAGTCAAAGCTTTACTATTTGTATATATATATATATGTGTACCGGCTGATTCAAGGAATAAGAATTGATATTCATTCTTCCTAAAAACCTTCATGGTATCAGAGCCCTAGGCTCGTATCTCTGGAAATTAGTTTCCCTCAGCCCTGTCGCCTCTCATAGTCACTCTCACGGCAGGCCTCTTCTTTTCTAGTCAACTGGCCTTATTCTCTTATTCTGTTCCCTCATTCTCACGATTAGGGATCGATCCATTCCTCTTTTTTTTTTTTCCAGGCTTCACATCGCTGTTTTTTTGTTTTCCCCTGAATGACTAAATATGGCATGGTAACAGAGAAGTCTACCTCAACCTCGGTAGATAGTTCCACCACCGAAGTTTCATCCACAACCAATTCCCATGGAGGACCAGAAAACACATCAATTCTCATTACCGGACACAAACTCAATGGCCACAATTACCTACAATGGTCACAATCAGTGATGATGTTTATTTGTGGTAAAGGCAAAGATGAATATCTCACTGGTGAGATTACAATTCCAGAGAAAAGGGATCCTAAATACAGAACATGGAAGACAGAAAACCACATGATCATGTCGTGGTTGATTAATTCTATGAATAACGAAATAGGAGAAAATTTTCTCCTATACGGGATTGCAAAGGAGATATGGGATGCAGTGCGGGAAACCTACTCTAGCTCGGAAAACATCTCGGAATTGTTTGAGAGTGAAGCTGCACTTCATGATCTACGTCAAGGAGACCTCACGGTAACACAATACTACAACACTCTCACTCGTCATTGGCTGCATCTCGATATGTTTGAAGTCCATCCGTGGAAGTGTAGTGAAGATACAAAGTTGTACCGGGAGATAGTGGAGCAGAAAAGGACCTTCAAATTTCTTCTCGGCCTCAACAAGAATCTGGACGAGGTCAGAGGAAGAATAATGGGTACAAAGCCTTTTCCAAGTATAAGGGAGGCTTTTTCAGAGGTTCATCGGGAGGAAAGCAGGAAGAAGCTGATGATGGGCTCTCAAAATTCTGCTCCAACTCTTGAAGGATCCGCCTTGGCTGCTAGAGGACGACAAAATAGTGTTACTGACAACAGGCAAAGAAAAGGAAGACCTTGGTGTGATCACTGCCGCAAAACAGGACACATCAGGGAGACTTGCTGGAAGATTCACGGGAAACCATCTGATTGGAAGCCTTCTCGACCAAACAATGATCGGGAAGGCAGAATCAATATTGCTGCCACTACTGGTGACAAGGAAAACTGCACCACTTCTGCTTCACAGGCTGAAAACAGTCCCTTCACAAAGGAACAACTTGAGGTACTCCAGAAGCTGCTTAGCCAGAATGTCATGACTCAAACAAACAATAAAAACCCGGGTTCTAGTATGCTAGCACATAAAGGTAATCTTTCAAATGCCTTTGCGGTTAATAAATGTCATACAAATCCTTGGATTGTTGACTCAGGAGCCTCGGATCATATGACGGGAGATGCCTCTATATTTCATGAGTATAGTCCAAACCTTGAGAACCATACAGTCCGCATAGTAGATGGTTCTTCATCCAGAGTTAAGGGAACAGGAGTAGTGAAAGTCACTAAGGATATAACCCTTCATTCAGTTCTTCATGTTCCTAATTTGGACTGCAATTTAATTTCAGTGAGTAAATTAACTCGTGATCTCAATTGTGTGACTAAATTTTTTCCAAACCTTTGTGAGTTTCAGGAATTGAATTCGGGGAAGACAATTGGCAGTGCTAAGGAGTGTTTTAGGCTCTATCTCCTTAAGGATAATATTTCTTCAAGAAGGCAATCTCAGAATAAAAATGGTGGATCATTCAAGAGTCAGTCCTGTTTAAACACTTGTGTCAATAAGGATAGTGAAATTATGTTATGGCACTATCGTCTTGGTCATCCCAATTTCATATATCTCAAAAATTTGTATCCATCATTGTTTATCAATAAAAGTCCAAAGTTTTTCAATTGTGAAGTTTGCCAACTTGCTAAACACACTCGTAGTAGCTATCCTAACTCTTCATACAAACCTTCTCACTCCTTTCCCTTAATTCATAGTGATGTATGGGGCCCCTCAAGAGTAAAAAATATCACTGGAACTAGGTGGTTTGTGTCTTTTGTTGATGATCATACTCGCTTAACATGGGTATTCCTTATGAAAGAAAAGTATGAAGTTGGACAAATTTTCCAGAATTTTAATTCTATGATACAAACACAATTTCAAACCAAGATTCAAATCCTTAAAAATGACAATGCCAAAGAATACTTTGAATCAATTCTTGGAACCTATCTCATGAGTCAAGGGATTGTCCACTTAAGTTCTTGTGTTGATACCCCCCAGCAAAATGGGGTTGCCGAGAGGAAGAACATGCACCTATTAGAGGTGGCTCGGTCACTCATGTTCACCACTCACGTACCAAAATATTTCTGGGGAGAAGCCATACTCACAGCCACATACCTCCTTAATCGGATGCCCTCCAAAATCCTTAAGTTCCAAACTCCGTGCAATGTTGTCCTTCAACATTTCCCACACACCAAATTCATCTCATCATTAGCTCCAAAGATATTTGGATGCTCTGCCTTTGTTCATATACACTCTCAACATCGTGGGAAATTAGACCATAAATCTATAAAATGTGTCTTTCTCGGGTACTCCTCACATCAAAAAGGGTATAAGTGTTACTCTCCCACAACCAAAAGGTTCTACAACTCAATGGATGTAACCTTTTTTGAACACCAATCATTCTTTTCCAAGCCTGTAATTCAGGGGGAGAACATGAGAGAATTTCAGCTTTGGGATCTTGAATTCCACCCCTTTCATCTCTGTCCATACCAGGTCCTACTCCTCAAACAGATTCTACCAATCAATCCGAGAGTCATACTCCTACATTGAGTCCACCGAGTCTATCCCATATCCAAGACAGTCCCAGTCCAAATCGTTCTAGTCCACCTCTTCAGCTTCAACAAAACGATGAAAGGAATAAAGAGGTAATTGTTTACTCTAGGAGGAAAAAGTCTGGAAAGGAGATAGAGCACACAATGCGTCTCATACTAGACCATGAAGCTGATCCGGATTCAATGCCTACACAAGTTCACTCGGGTAAGGATAATTTAGATGTTACAATACCTGCTATGGAGAATTTAGATGTTCCAATTGCCTTGAGGAAAGGTGTCAGAACTTGCACGAATCATCCTATTAGCCGATTTGTCTCATATGTGAAACTATCACCATCATACAAGGCCTTCGTGTCTACTCTTGATAGTATGCAAGTTCCCAACTCTATTTAGGAGGCTCTCAAACACTCAGAATGGAGGAAGGCAATTAATGATGAAATCCAAGCACTAGAGAAAAATAACACATGGGTGTTGACAGATCTTCCCCCAGATAAGAAGACCGTCGGATGTAAGTGGATTTTTACTATCAAACACAAGGCTGATGGTAGTATTAAGAGACTAAAAGCTCGACTAGTTGCTAAAGGGTTCACTCAGTCTTATGGAATAGATTATCCGGAAACTTTTGCTCCGGTGGCCAAACTAAACACTATCAGAGTCCTTTCCCTTGCAGCAAACAAGGACTGGCCTCTACATCAACTGGATGTAAAAAATGCATTTTTAAATGGTGACCTTGAAGAAGATGTGTACATGGAAATACCTCCAGGACTGGAAGCAACCGTGGAAAGCAACAAAGTGTGCAAACTCAAGAAGTCTTTGTATGGACTCAAACAATCTCCTCGTGCATGGTTTGACAGGTTTGCAAAGTCAGTTGTGAGATATGGATTCACTCAATGTTAGGCATATCATACACTGTTCGTGAAGTTCTCCTCAGAAAACAAAGTGGCAGTCTTAATTGTATATGTCGATGACATCATTCTGACAGGTGACTATGAGGAGGAATTAGTGAGAGTGAAAGCAGTTCTAGCCAAGGAATTTGAAATCAAAAATCTTGGCAATCTCAGATATTTTCTCGGAATGGAGGTAGCTTGATCCAAGCAAGGAATTTTTGTCTCTCAAAGAAAGTATGTCCTGGATCTGCTAAAGGAAACAGGAATGCTGGGGTGTAAACCAGTCGACACACCGATGGATACTAAGAAGATAACAGCTATGATAGAGTCTGCACCAGTTGATAGGGGGTGATACCAAAGACTCGTACGACGGCTTATCTACCTCTCTCACACAAGACCGGACATCGGCTTTCCAGTTAGTGTAGTGAGTCAGTTCATGCACAGTCCTACAGAAGAACACATGGAAGCTGTGTATAGAATCTTGAGGTACTTAAAAATGACACCAGGAAAGGGTATACTATACAGGAAGATTGGAAACCAGGATATTAAGATCTACTCAGATGCAGACTGGGCAGAGATGTAAAGGACAGAAGATCAACAACTGGTTATCGTGCCTATGTTTATGGGAATCTAGTCACATGGAGGAGCAAGAAACAACCAGTAGTCTCAAGGAGCAGCGCAGAAGCTGAGTTTAGAGCATTGGCCCTTGGCATTTGTGAAGGAATGTGGATAAGGAGACTACTCAAGGAATTGGGGATAACAAGTGAGAAACCGATCAAGCTTTTCTGTGACAATCAAGCAACTATATGCATCGCCAGGAATCCGGTACATCATGACAGAACTAAGCACATTGAGATTGATCGTCATTTTATCTCAGAGAAGATTAACAACTCAATAATACAATTGATCTATACCCCCACACAATCTCAAGTGGCAGATATACTCACGAAAGCTCTTCCAAGAACAAGCTTCGAAGGATTGAGTCACAAGCTGTGTTTGTTCAACATCTACAACTCAGCTTGAGGGGGAGTGTTGAGATTTCCGAATCAATTAGGGAAGATTTCTAGGAATTATCCCTGATATTTTGTGTATAAATTAGGAGGAGAATCCGGTATTCTTACCAGATCTTTACTTTTAAACTTTCCTAGTTTAGTGGGTTTGTTTCCTTATTTAGTTACAACCTAAGAATAGTCAAAGCTTTATTATTTGTATATATATATATGTGTGTGTGTGTGTACCGGCTGATTCAAGGAATAAGAATTGATATTCATTCTTCCTAAAAACCTTCAGATAGACACGACTCTTGGACTAACACACATCCAAGATTACATTGATGCTACCTAGAGATGGTTTCTAACATGACGTTCTCAAAGAGGCCTGGATACCCTAGATTATCAAAAAGAAAAAAATGACGTTCAAATTCCTGCAGCTGAACTTTACAATAATTTTTACTAGTCTCGCCTGTTGAAAGTACTTACATAATTAGCAAAAGTATAGCCTATAGATTGATGAGAAAATAAAAACACAACGGACGGGCACATATACTGTTCCTAGAAAGGAAACACCTGATGACCAATTCCATTAATGAAAAACGTTGTAAGATTTCCAACCCTAGTAAATAATTTGAAAAGGACAACAGATTGAAAAGAAAATAAACATACCTACTCCATGAGTTTTACTGGTTGAATCCTCAGTCTGGTCAAATTGAAAGCCATGAAAGAGTCAAAACTCAGTATTCAATAATGAAAAATGATAGGACATGATAATTGCGTCATAGCCTAGGAACTTCATATGCATGCAACTCTAAACCATTCATTCAATGATCTGAAAGAAGAAAAAAATAAAGTAGAACACAGAGATAGATATTTTGGCACCAGGACAGTTCAGTGGGTGATGAAACATTAACCTATGGGACACGCTTAACACACTTATCTTACTCCCACTTCATCTACCCCCAATTGCTTCTTCTCTGTATCTTCTCTTTGTTCTCCTTTTTTTTTTCTTTTCTTTTTTTTTTTTGTAAGTATTAGTGTTTTCTGTTTCTATTATTATAGTTTTCAACCCACTTCCAACCTTCAATTGAACCTTAAACTGCATTTCAAAATACATAAACTTAGTTACCTTACCAAATCCTCGATTCATACATTCTTGAGTCTTGACTAGATGCTGATTTCCTACGATTCTACTCATCATCCTTCTCTCGAATCAGTAATTATACACAATATGTCCATAATCTAAGACACAATTACCTAAACAGTGTAGCAAAATTCTGCTCCAAAAAAAAAAAAAAAACCACAACAATATCATTAACATCCCCATATTTATAATAACTACAGTTGACCTTTGCTTCGCGCTCTTCCCACTTCCTGATCACAATAATCTATCATATTAGCTAAGAATTGAACAAAATCCTAGAAATGACCTTCGCTCCCTATTTCAATGCTTTTTTAAACTATGATGCCCCAGCAGCTTTTGGCACACTCTGGACACCAAAAGAAGGATCAGAAACATTGCCTTCCAAGTTCTAACTCAAATGCAACAACCAATAAAGTGCTGCAGCAAACTTACTACTAAATCAATCGGACATGTAAAGTTCAGAAAGAACCATATGAACACATAGCAAGTAACAAATACACACATTCTTTATACAGGAAATCTCTGTGTGGATGCTAGACAAGTACCAGAGGTTTTGATGCCTTTGATAGATTTTCATCAGGGCCGTTTTGAGCCAGAGATGAACTAGGAACATCCACTGATGTTGGTCCAACATGAAGATCTGTTTTATTCTCGTGAACCTTGCTCTGTCCAAGCAAACTAAAAATATCAATCAACGAATCAGGTTTAGTCTGATCGTCATCAGGAAATGAACCAAGCTTAAAAGCCTCTTCAAGGCATTCTCTAGCAACATCAAGGCTTTCAATATCAACTCCAGGAGCAGGTTCAACTGTTTAACAGGTAACGAGCTCCCATAAGTCAGGAATTTTAATTCACAATCAATTCAATAAGCATAGTAATGGTTTTAAAAGTGCACAATTTTTTTAGAGCAAAAGAAGCTTAACTTGCAGCAAATCATCAATCATGAAGGAAAGTAATATATATATATATATATATATATATATATATATATACACACAAACAATAGAAAAAAA